ATCTGCTTATATATTCAATCTGTTGAAATATCACACATTATAAAGCCTCTGGGAAACTCCAGCACACACTCATGGGAGCAAGAGAATTAAAAAGGCAAATGATGACTTCATAATTTTATAAAAATAATTTTAATGTTGCAGGACCACTGAAAGGGTCTCGGTGACCTCCAGAAGTCCTTGACCATATATTTGAGAACCTCTGATTTCAGAGATTATTTCCATGGTTTAAATGAGAAGTTGTAATACCAATGTGAGGTCACAAAGAACAAAGTGAGATCACAACTAGAGGACTAGAGGCTGTGGTATGTATTTTTACTTATTTTAGGAAGGATTGAACAACAAAAAAAGAGTTCAGGCCATTTAAAAGTTATGGAGGACTAATTGTGAGGGGCAAAAGTAATAGAGAGATTACATCTTTTACCAAAAATTTGAACTCGAGAGCATTATGCTAAGAGAAATAAGCCAGGGGGCGAAAGACAAATACCATATGATCTCACCTATAAGTGGAACCTAACCGACAATACAAAGATGCAAGGAAAATAAGACCAGCAACACTGAAAGGAAAAGAAACTAACATAGACAAGAGGGAAAGGGGGGGGCAGGGGAAAAGGAAGGGAAGGGGAAAGTCAAGGAACATATAGCAAGGACTCATGGACAAAACCAAAGGGGAAGAGCTGAAGGAGGGGGCAAGGGAAAGTGGTGGGGGTTAGGCAGAGACAAATGTATTTGAAAAAATTAATTAATTAATTAAAAAAATTTGAATCTTGGTGCCTATAAAGAGAGAACAGTTGTTACATAAGAAGAAATAGGGTATAAGCATATTTCATAGAGAAAAATACAATTTTGTTGGGACTTAGATACTGAGAACCTAATGAGAAATAAAAGAGAATGTTTGCTAATCGATCATGACAACTGTTTGAATGGGGAGAAAGAATGGTGTAGAGGGGAAACTTCAGTAGAAAAGGGCTTGTTGAAGCAGGGTCTCATCTGCTATTCAATAACGTCATTCCATTCAGGCTAAGATATGGTCGCTCTGAAGCCAAAACTCCCAAGAACAGTAAAATTGGTGGGCAAGTTCATTCAGCCAAGGATCTCCCTTGTTAAGGGAGTTTAATTTTTCTTTCTCTGAAAAAGACTTGGTGAGATAGGTTTGAGATAAAATTTCCATATGAAAATCAATCTTCAGAGTTCACCAATACAAGAAACCTTCTGTGGCCTGATGCACAGATCATCTTTGATAACAAGGAAGTTGTTATGCACTTTTGTTTATATATTTTATATTTCACCACCAAAACTTCTCAAGAGCCTTCTAATTAAATTCCTAAAACTCTCCTCATTTTTCCTTTCTCCAGGAAAGTTGTCAGTAATTAGTATCTGAACTATATCCCAAAAGTTTTAACGTGAGTAGAAATAACAATTGCTTTCTTATTTTTCTCAGGTTTTATAAAAGCTAATCAGAAAATAATTGTCATTTTTAAAGTTAGAAAATGATTTCTTATAAGTTATTTTTACTGAGAAAAATAAGCTTAGATTAATAAACAATGGCGATAACAGGAGAGCTCATCTGAGTGCTCTCCAGGTGCATTAGAAACACCTCTCTGAACAGATTCACAGTGGCTGAGATGTCCTTAACGTTCTCATCAGCTTGACGGGTTTCTTCTTGATGATTGGCCCCTGACCTCACTTTTGTTAGAACGTGTACTTTAGAAAGCTTGCATTATAAATTCTTTCTCTGTCCCTTTGAAATATAAATCTTCTACAACTAGAAATATCTTTCTTAAGACCTATGAGACAACCCTTTGAAATGTAATCATCAAAAGAGACAGTGGCCCTCTTTCCCCGTCTCTGTGGGAGGGTGAGACTTCACTTCGGTAAGCAACAATTAGCAGACACAGGTGGCCTAATCACACTGGCCACTCACCTCCAACCCCACTGACATCCTCTGGTACCTTAACACCAGCTCACTCCATAGCTAAAAAACTTTCATTTTTGTTTCAGCTAAGTAAAATTCCATTTCTTCTATTACAATAGACTTGATCTCTATTGCAATAGTCTTGAGTAAAGTCTTCCTTGCTTATTTAATTCCATGTTTTCTTTTTTTTTTTTTTTTGACAGCAGGGAATTTTTTTTTTTTTAATATCAGGACATCTCTTAAAAGGAAGTAATGTGCAGTGGATGGACTATGACTTGTGTGCAACTTAACAGAAAAAAATAACTTCAGTTGCTTTCAGTGTCAGAGTTACAAGTATTTGATATAGGAAAATGGGTGTGTATTTTCCATATTTTCCATATAGGTGCGTTGAATCTATAAATTGCTTTGGGTAGTATGGACATTTTGATAATATTAATTCTTCCAATCCATGAGCACGGTATATGCTTCCATTTATTTGTGTCTTCCTTAATTTCTTTCTTCAATGTTATATAGTTTTCTGCGTACAGGTCTTTTACCTCTTTGGTTAAATTTATTCCTAGGTACTTTATTTTTCTTCTTGCTATATCGAATGGTATTTTTTTCCTGATTTCTTCTTCTGTTGTCTGTTCATTTTCATTTGTTTCCAGAAATTTTTTGATATCGTCTCTTATCTCATTATTGACCCATTCATTGTTTAATAGTGTACTGTTCAGTCTCCATGAGTTTGCAAGTTTTTGAAGTTTCTTTTTGAGGTTGATTTCGAGTTTCAAGGCCTTGAGGTCTGAGAAAAAGTTTGGTATTATTTCAATTTTCATGAATTTGCTGAGGCTTGCTTTGTGTCCTATCATGTGGTCTATCTTTGAAAAACTGCCATGAGCATTTGAAAAGAATGTGTATTTTTCTTCTTTGGGATGTAAGGTTCTATATATGTCAGTTAAGTCTCTTTGATTCAGTGTGTCATTCAGCGCCACGATATGTTTATTAATGTTTTGTTTGGAAGATCTGTCCATTTTTGACAGTGGGGTGTTTTAATCCCCTACTATCAGTGTGTTGCTGTCTATATCTTTTTTGAAGTTGTCCAAGATTTTCCTTATGTACTTGGGGGCTCCTATATTGGGAGCATATAAGTTTACAATGTTTATGTCTTCTTGAGAGATTCTTCCTTTAAGTATTATAAAGTGCCCCTCTGGGTCTCTTTTTATGGCCTTTGTTTTGAAATCTACTTTGTCTGATACAAGATTGGCAACTTCGGCCTTTTTCTCTTGCCCATTTGCTTGGAATATTATTTTCCATCCCTTTACTTTCAATCTGTGTAGGTCTCTTGCTCTGAGGTGGGTCTCTTGTAGGCAGCATATGTGTGGGTCATGTTTTCTTATCCATTCAGCTACCCTGTGTCTTTTGATTGGGGCATTTAGTCCATTCACATTGAGAGATATTACTGATAGAAACTTACTCATCTTTTCTCTTTGTACCTGTGTTCCTCTCTGTCTCATTCTTTTCCTTCATCTGCTTAAACCAGTCCCCTTAGCATATCTTGGAGAGCTGGTTTGGTAGAGATGTATTCTTTTAGCCTTCTCTTGTCTGGGAAACTCCTTATTTCCCCTTCTATTTTAATTGAGAGCCTTGCTGGGTAGAGCAGCCTTGGCTGTAGGCCCTTGCTTTTCATGACTTGGAATATTTGTTGCCATTCCCTTCTGGCTTGTAGTGTTTCTGTTGGGAAGTCAGCTCCTAGGCGTATCAGGGCCCCCCTGTATGTTACTTTCTCCTTCTCCCTTGCTGCCTTGAGGATTCTCTCTTTGTCTTTGACATTTGCCATTTTAATGATGATGTGTCTTGGAGTGGACCTCTTTGAGTCCCTCTTGAGTGGGGTCCTCTGTGCCTCCTGGATCCATGAGAGCCTTTCTCTCCTCAAATTAGGGAAATTTTCCATCATTACTTTTTCGAGGAGGTTCTCTATCCCTTGCTCCTCTTCTTCTCCTTCTGGGATCCCTATTATATGGATATTATTGCGTTTCAGGTTGTCCTGCATTTCCCTAAATGCCTCTTCAGTCTTTTTGAGTTGTTTTTCCATTTCTTGTTCTTTCTGGGAGCTTCTTTCTACCTTATCCTCCATCTCACTGATTCGATCCTCGGCTTCATCCAGCCTGCTTTGGATTCCTTCTACTGTGTTCTTCAATTCAGAAATGGTATTCTTTATATCCTCTTGTGTCTTCTTGATAGTTTCTATGTCCTTTTCCAAGCTGATATAGTTTGCTGTAAGATCCTGATAGTTTCTCTGCAGTTTCTCATAGTTCTCTTTGAGCTGGCTGAGCTCATTGAGCTTCCTTAGAACCATTGTTTTGAATTCAGTATCTGATAGTTCCCTCGCCTCTATTTCATTTAGCTCTCTCTGTGGGGAGTCCCCTTTTCCACTCATTTGGGGGGAACTTCTTTTTCTTCCCATTTTTGTGAGAGTCTGTTAAGTAATTTACTTATTTATTTATTTTTGCTTCTGCTTCAATTGGGCTGTCTAGATTTCCTGACTTTGTGGAACTAAACTTCTATGGTAGTAGGTGGGTCTTTTTATTTATTTATTTATTTATTTACTTACTTACTTATTTATTTTTCCCTTTACTTTTCTTTCTGGGCCTGCCTCTGATGATGTCAGTTGTTGACCCTATATGACCTTGAGTCGTTTGTTTGAGCCTTCCAGGAGTCTACTGTCTGTGTCTGACTCCTGCTTGGGGCAGCTCTGTGACCCCTTCTGTCAGGGATGGACTCTTTTTTTGGGATCGCTCTACACTCTCATGCCGGCTCCTAGAGCGCGCTGCCTGGCATGGCAGGTTCCCCCGCCTGAGAGGCTTGAAATTTTGAGAGATTATGCTATACCTTCTATAACTTGAAAAAACGCTAAATTAAAATTACTTTTGAAAAGTAGTTCGCTCTTTTACTTGAGGTGAGGTAGAAAACCACATTTTTGCAATAGGTATACACATAATAGATCCAGTTATCCAAAGGAAATACAGACAAGATGGCAGTCAAAACCTGACTCTGAATATTGTTAAACTGTTCACAAGAAAGGTGCAATAGAATTTTGCATAAAACATACCTTCCTTCTTTTCATCTTTTTTAGCTGTTGCAGAAATAAGAAAAAGAAAATAGTGTTAAAACATATTAAATGACCATTCTTCAGAATTCTTCTGGGAATATAAGAATGTATCACATGTATTCATAAATTCAGTGGACATCTATGTACAAATCAATCTATCCAAATTTGAAATAAAGATTACCTAAAATATTATTCCATAAAAAAAATTTTTTAATTGATAAAGCAAGAAATGAATAAAAATATGTTATTACATCAATAAGTCAAATTAATAAGCATGTGTTTAGCTCTCTTACCTGTACACTGTGCTTAATCAACACTTTCACCTAATTTCCTTAAAAGGATAATTCTAACAAGCTTTTGAAACTCTCGGTAACTATTCATTCAATCATAAATCTTTTATTGTGAAAGAATGAGTTCTGAGCTGCCTTGTCCAATGTAGTTGGCATATAAAAGTGAAGAGTCTATGGCCCAAACTCAAATTTGAAAGCAGTTTCCAGCTTATCTCTTCAATTTCCTCCCCCTGAACTCCTCTATTATGAGGCTGAAGTAACACCAAATTGCTAACTCAAGTCATAGTTCCACTTCTCTCATGACCTCACACGATTGTGTATCTTCATAAGAATATATCTACCTTAACTGCAATGATTCTTTGAACTACTAGTCATTTGCTTGAGGAATTCACTCTGAGCTAAATTTTCATGAATATAAAACACGGAAGTGATCATAATATTAGCCCTGCCTTTTTATGTCCCATAATATTTGTTACATTCCCTATCAGGACACATCTAAAGAAGAATCAGTATTCTTGAACATCCTGATGATCAAAAGAAAACTAAAAACTTACATCACAGTTCTTAACTTTTCTAGCATATATTGCTTATAAACAACATTGTTGGGTCTAATGGCAATTTAGCCAACCCATTTTTCCAATATTTATCAGGATGATTTTGCAAGTAGTTGGGTCCAGGATGCAACCATGTTACATGCTAAGAAGTCTGCTACAAGAGCCTCGTGCCCAGAAATAAATGTGCCATCACCTAAATGAATCTTCTGAATTGTTCAGTATTGTATAATGTGGTATAGGAGAGAAAATAAATATTTTCTCCAATTAATGTTTTACCTTTTTTCCCTAAGTGTGTTCTGTAAAGTTTCCATAGATGACAAAGGCAGAACATTTGTACCCTTTCCTTATATTTCCATCATATTAATGCTCATGGCTTGAGAATAAAGATCACATAAACTCATTGCATTCCATCCTCTTGAGTTGGGGACACTGTAGTTAGAATAACTTTCTCAAAAAATATGATTCCATGTGATAACTAAAAAAATGATTTTACAGGAAAATTATTTTAAAGAAATACTTTTCTCAAACTGGTGACTTGAAGACTCAATATTTTCCTGAAGTTCTCTTAAAAAACACCATTCTTGTACCCCAAAGATATGAGTAAATGACAAAATAGATTTTCTCAAATGTCTCTTAAAACCTAGGGTGATTACATCATAATCATATTTGGAAACTGATTTTTCAGTATTAGTGTATAGATGAAGTAATAGGAATTTTAAAACATTCTTATGGGATTTTCTAGTATGACATAAAATTAGAAGATATAATTGAAAACACAGAAAACTTTGTATATTATTTGTATAGTTCTATACACCATTTGTCTATGCATCTATCAATCAATCTATGGTTTATTTTCTAAGTTATAAGTAAAAACTCAATGCCTGAAACTAGGAGTCAAGATACTAATTCTTGGGTTGTTCGGTGGTTCCTCTTCAAATTTGGCATTGATCTTAGTCATGCTTTCTCCAGTTACTGATTACTGGAAATGTGTATCTTCATGCAGCAATGCCATGTTTTCTCTAATAACCCAGCAGATGGTGCTATTCTGCAATAAACAGCTTTAGCTTTTGTCAATAAAGCGCTATGTAAGTGGAAAAAAAGGTAAGAATTTTTGAAGTGTTTCATTGCTTACCTTGTGCTGCAACTTTTATAGCCCCTTGTTTGGTTTCATGGGCTTTCCCTGCCTCTTATAAAGAGAAAAGATACATAAATTAACATAAAGTGCTGTCAGAAGGATATGCAACAAAATTTGTTTTAAAGGAAAAATTACAAAACCGAAATCAAACATAGAAAACATTGCACTAATCACTCAGCATTGTTAAGAACTGAACACAATTATTAGGGAGATAGATGAGAAGGAGGTTTATTGGCACAAAAATAAAATGACTGAACAAAGTAAAGCATACAATAAAGTTTTTCCAAACTGTTTTACCTCACTGTTAACTGACCATGGAACACTTTGTATTTATTTAACACCTAAATTTGAAAATCTTAAAATTCTTTATAAAGTATTTCTTATAAGCAGCCCTTTAAAATGCATAAAACATTTAGACATAAAGTGGCTCTTTGAAATTTCCTGAACGACTAATGTGAAAATAAAGCCCAGTACAACCAGTTTCCAGCTTTAGTCTTTGACTTGATACCATTCCCTCTACTGCTATGTGGTAGGGGAGGGGATGGGGTGGGGGGCAACTAAATGTATTGTGAGAGAATGAGCTAGCTTCATACATTTTAAATCTTTCTTCCCTCAGCTTCGTTGGTTTTTTTTCCTTTGTTCAGAATTTTCTCTTTAAAGAAACAGAATACATAAACAGTTAATAAACATTTAAATGTTATTTAATTAGCATGAACAATAGAAGAGGAAATAAAGATTTCAAAAAGGAATGGCTTATTTCATTTCATTAAGTAGTGGTCCCTGATTGTCTTCATTAAGTTTTCAATAATCGAATTATCACTTAATAATATGGGAAGGAAGATTGGCCATTTGTCTTAGATATTGACCTTGGTGTGTTCATTCATCACATATTTATTTAGGACCTGTTATATGTATGTACTAGCTAGGTATAAATGTAATAGTTGGCACACATATATATTCAATATTATTTAGTTATCATAAAATGTCAATATTAGTTTATTACAGGGTGGGGCAAAAGTAGATTTACAGTTATTCATATGGAAAAATAATAAAATAATCAATAAATAATAATACAATAATAAACTCTGTGTTTTACACCTCACAATTGTAAACCTACTTTGCCAAATCTTGTATGACAATTATAATTAAAGTTATAAAATAACAAGATTTCATGAGAATAACTTGGCAAAGAATCATAAGCAGAGTCCATGGGTTTTTTTCTGCCAAACAAAAGAGGTTTAACTTGGAATTTATTCTTCACTGCTTGTTGGTGAGAGAATTATTTATGTCATTATTGTTATTATTACAAAAATGTTAATTTTTATTATATTTTCATGTTAAAAGTATTGTTTGACTCACACATATCACTTTCATTATTACTCTACTCATTTTCCAGACAAAATTTCCTTTTCCAAAATTAAACTCAGAAACCATTCTATCTTTGGTCTTTTTATTATTTTTTTAAATTCTTCTCTGGAAGAAAACGCCATGCCAACTATTATACTAATACTACTGTTACGGTGGAATGAGAGGCAGAGGGGAAATAAAGGCAGGACCCTCACCATTACAATCTAACAAAGAACTTAATACAGATGCTAAAAGCAAAAGCTCACATCTTCACTCAGTAATCCAGAGCCTGGTCCGAAAAGCCTGCCAGGCGTCCAGAACAGGTAAACTGAGTGCAGGAGTGCGGAGAGCCCTTGAAATACGGTGTGTACCATCTCCACTAGCTGGGAAAAGGAAACCCTGGAGACTGTGTATTTATCCCAAGGCTTGGAAGGGAGAAAGGGAGGCGGTCCAAAGCGCCCAAAAGAAAAAAGAAAACAAAAAGCATCTTTGATTAACTGCCTGCCTTCCAACGCGTATGCAAAAGGAATAAATAGACTCTAGAGCAAGATGAAGGTTCGGGCTAACAGACTCCCAACCATTCCTGTATTTGAGTAGTCACATCTCCTCAGTGGAATCTGACACCATCTTTACCTGCCAATCAAAATATAAGTTCTTCACCCCATCCCAGCAACCATATAAGTCCTCAGAACAAAGGGTCCTTCTCTTTTGGCCTCTTGGCTCTCTTGCCACACAGGGACCCCTGGCCAGCCGTACTCTGGCCACCCAGGTGCTGGCCACCCAGGCTTTTGCCTCTCCACTTTGCCACCCCTGCTCTAGCCACTCTTGCTTTGCTTTCCTATTAGAACTTAGCATTAATGAACTTTGCTTGCACACTGGTAGGCCTGTAATTCTTTACTGCATCTCAGCAAGAACGGAATTTCTGGGAGTTTCTTCCATAACACTACCTTTGTTATACCTAATAGATGGTCTCAACAATCCTAGTCAAGATTTACCTATAGATATTGGATTCTTAACTAATATATTTCTAAGTATTGTTCTAGCCCTACAGGTACATGAGTAGCATTTAGTAAGCACTTAATAAATAATTGGTAAATAAAAAAGTGGATGAAAGGATAAAAAGATAGATCCAAAATATTACCAAAAGAGCCCTAAACTACTCAGGTGTTTTACTCCTTAAGATCTCAACATATCAGGGAAATGTAGAGTAATAACTTATTTTTTTAAAAAAGATTTTACAGTTGAAATCAGTAAAGTGTTATAGGATTTTTACATTTGCTTTTCCTTCTATTTTCTCTTTTCTTTTATGTCCTTTTAGATTACTTATCCTAACTGATCCCTTTACACCTGAGATTCTGTTGGACCACCCAGTACACACAATTGTGAATTATAAAGAGCTTTTCTTAAGGTCTTACTTCTTCCATCAGTCATTTGGTTTTGCTGTCAGTTGCTTTAACCATCAGTGATCAGGATTCAGATCATGCCCCTGACTGTTTGGGACTCCTTATCTGGAGTACCCGGACAGATGACGGATTGGACATCTCCCAGCAGAGTCACATCCTCACTACCCTTATCCTGCCTGTGGGACTGTGTGTACACTGAGTGGGCATGTTTTAAAGGCTCATACCCTGTGGACACTTTTTTCCTACTCTGCCTTCATTCCCAGCCCTCCAAAAACAAAACCCATCAATCCACTAATGCGCACTATGTCTTAAAGATTCTATTCCAGGTAAAAGATGTTATTTAAAAGGGTTAGTCCTACAGACAATGTTCACATCCAAAGGGATAATTTTAAAGAAGATAAATCTCAGGGTCAGAGCAGTATAATGTTGTTTGTCCCTCAAAATTTCCTATTCTTTCTCTGATCTCACTTTTAGGTCAATATATATTAACAAACTACTATGTGAATGGCATTTCGGTAGAAACTAACAATTTAAAACCAAGTGTTTTTCAACAAGTCTGCCAACTTTCATTACACCCAACAAAAATACTGACTTCACATTTACTGAGGATACATACAGAGATGATCAGCTATAACATCTGTTTGTGTTAGCATTTCAGTTTTTAAAACTGCATGACTTTAAGGAGGGAGTCAACTCTGAGACCAGAAATGTACATTAAGAAGGACACACCCAAAATTGCATAAGAGTGAAAACACATCAAATCCACACACACAGGGTGAAAAAGGTGAAGGGTTTAAGAGCTTCAGATAGATAGTCACAAAACAGTCCTGGGGATATAAAGTACAGCATAGCAATATTGTAATAACTATTCGTGGTGCCTGGTGGGTCCTTGAAATATCGAGGGAAATACTTTGTAAAATATGTATATAATTGTCTAATCATTATGCTGTACACCTGAAACTAACACAAGATAATACTGATGTGAACTGTAATTGAAAAATAAATTTTAAAAAAAATAATGAAAACTAATCCACAGAAATACATTTTTATTGTATTTTTCTGCATCCTTTTGATTACTACCAACTGCAAAAGAAACTCTAAATTTTTATTAGAAAAATTTGCAGCTATATACACAATTAAAGATGAAAGTATAATAAGCTCCATGCTCTCAACACTTATTCAAGTGATGGCTTGTCTTATTTCCTCTGTATTACTCACAACCTACACCACACATATCCCAAATAAAAATTTTATTATATCAAATGATACTATCTTTTTCTAAGTTTTAATTTGATAAATTTAGTTATATTTTTAAATGAAATAGTGATTTAAATAAAAACAAAGGATCATAAATTCAATAAAGATTTTAATTCTGAAGCTGATAAATAATATTTTGGACTGCCAAATTAGAAACAGGGTGGACCTAGATTAAAATGTCAGCATAATTTACTTGGGAATATTTTAGTAGGAAATTATCAGAAAAGTTAATATTCCTAGGCTCCTGAAACATGTTGTATTTATATAAACAAAGTGTTATGAATCAGATAAACCAAATGATTTGGTTTCTTCTGATTTCATAAGCATGGAACAGTCTCATTTACAAAATTGAATCTACAAATAGTTCATTCAGGAATTGATTTTTGCAGACAGCTTTAAATATTCACTTAATATCATGAACTTTTCATCTATAAGACTCTGTTTATACTTTTCATGTGAAATCTAAATTGATTGAATTTTCAAATGAGATTTCACATAACTTCAACAAGAAATGGACTGGTACACTGTAAATACAGTTTTGGGCTTTGGATAATGAAAAACAAATGAAGAATAATAAGATTGTAGAGAATCATACTTACATTTTAAGTATTTTCAAAACAATCCCAGCCCCCCATCCCAAAGTAAATCACTGCGTTTTTTATTTTTATTTTTTTTATAAGCTCGGAAAGATTATTTTCTCTTTAAAAAGTAACAATGAACAATACCTGAATTACATAAGTCTTTTCCCTTCTGCAAATAATATCAAAATAAGTAAGAAAGATGCCTCCCCAGCTGGAGGAAAGTGCCCATTAAAGAGAAAAATTGACAGAGGTATGTGAATGATTATCAGCAAGTGGTAAAGCAGGTGATGGGTTCTGATGAAACCTGGCCATTTCACAATACCCAGCCCACTGGACTCAGCAGTACAGATTTCTATGTCAATGTATAATCATATTTTAATTATTTACTTATGCTACTATGACTTCCACTAGTCTATAAACTCCCTGAGATCATTGGCTGTTATTTACTCAACTTCATAACACT